TCTGCCCCCTTCCCCCCTCCAACTTAGCGGTCAGCTCTTGATTAATAGGGTGCAGCGTCCCACTGAGCTCCTGGCAACCAGTGATGTCATTGGTTTGGTGGGATACTAGCAAGAGTGTCTTAGGTTGCTAAGATCTGGGTGGAGAAATGTGTATGGCCCTTACACATTTGCCCGCCCAGGTCTTAGCATCCTGGGACACTCTGGCTGGAAAGGGGGCAGCAGGCAGACTACAAACATTGTGAAACACAGCAGTCATGCCACTCTGCCTGCCAGTGCCAACCCCCCACAAGATGCCGCCTGCGGCAACAGATGGGAATAAGCTACTCCATGCAGATAGTGTCCCTTATGGTATTTAAATACAGAACCCAAGAGCTGCTGTTGTAAGAGTATTAGCCACTTAGCCACCATGTTGCCTGTTTTCTGTTATGGTAGAGGCTGTTCTTGGTCCTTCCGGTATTCAGGTTGGCTGCTTAAAGCCCAATTGCAGCTTCCGTATTTATTACTGTATGCAGACAGACTATAATTTTAGTAATAATGGGTAACATACACTGTGCTATCAGCAAGCTAGAGTTTCGGACCCTGGCTCAATACAGAGCACAGTGGGCTGGGTCTCCAGCAATCCAACCCGTCCCGCCCTGCCCAAAGCTCCAATCAATGAAGCTACTAAGGGAGCATGAGTGCTGCTAATTGGAGCACTGGACCAGGGAGTATGGGGACCTCAAAAGCCTGGACCGCTGTACTCTGTGTTGGTTGCTTTTGACCTGCTTTGCTTTTTGTTGCATTTCTTTGGATGCAGCAGGCCTCATTTAGATGCATTTACATTACAGCAGGACAAATCCAGTCTTTTGTTATGTTTCGTGCTCAAATGCAAAAGACAGCATTTGGCAACAATTCCCATGTACGCAAGTCCTTAGACTGAATACTGAGACTCCCATTTTTTCTAATTATTTGCCTTAGTTCTCTAGAAATCCCAGCCCCTACTAGACTAACAGCAGCTGTCCACCATGATAATATTAACCAGGAGGTCCCCTGTGAGATGGAAACATATCTACCCATTGTGCCACCCTAATGAATTAGTTTAATGAGACTTTGATGGATTTATAATGTTTATTTTGATTCACTGAAGACATTTTTATAAAATAAAATACTTGAACAGGAGCTGTAACACTTTCTTTGCAACAAAGCCACTAGTTTTTCCTATGGTTAAACCCCGGCAGCTGGTGGGAGGAAAACTCTAAATATAACTCAATTCTAAGAACCTGAACAACAAATGATGAAATCCACCAAATTCTTTTATGAGTGTAACAAGCCCACCGTATAGTGTGATTGACTGTCACTTCATACAGCACCCTATAGAACACAGAACAAGGCTCTCTGATTGGTGATCGGGAGTTGTCATCTCTCATGATCATAATCATTTTAAGTGCAATGTTATTATTAAAGAGTCAGTCCACCCAAAACTGGTAGATGTTGGTGTACCAAATCAGCCTCTGCTCACCTTCTGGTCTCTTGTGCCTTCTGGTGCCCATGCAGAGCCAATGGATCGATTAATTACCAATTCCAACACCTTCATAGAATTGGTTAAAAATCATTTCTGCTGAACTCAGTGACCAACTGTGCCCATCGATGAAGGTTCCCATGGACCACAAAGACATTTTAGACAATTGTGCACTTCACAGTTTGGTGAAGGCCTTTTTCTTTTCCAGCATGACTGGGCCCCCAGGGTACAAAGCCAGCTCCATAAAGACATGGTTTGATGAGTTTTGTGTGGAGGAAAGTGGGTGTCCTACACAGAGCCCTGACCTTAACCCTACTGAAGACATTTGGGGTGAAGTGGAATGTCGAATCTGAGCCAGGTCTTCTTATCCAACATCAGTACCTGACCTCACAAATGCTCTTTTGGCTGAATTGCCACAAATTCCCCCAAGACACATTCCAAAATTTTGTTGAAAGCATTCCCAGAAGAGTGGAGGCCATTATATCTACAAAGGGAGAAGGGCAACTCCATAATAATGGCCATTGATTTCTAATGGCATGTTCAACAAACTCAAATAGCTGTGATGGTCAGGTGTCCAGAAGTCTTTGGCCTTATTGTGGTCTGCGCTATAATCTAAAATGAACTCACACTCCACACAGACACATTTCAAAATCTTGTAGAAGGCCTTCCCAGAAAGACTGAGGCATAGGGGGTGATTTACTAACCTAAACACACGCACGCACTAGGTGCGTGTGATTTTTACACAGCAAAACGTATTTATCAACCAAAAAGTCTCTAAAAGCATATTTCCACTAATGCCTTATATGGAAAAATCATGCACATGATGCATATATAATGCTGCTTCACAATTTAGACAAAAATGGTTAGCTCATGTATTTACATTGCTGCATTCATCAACGCAAGCAACACAATGTAGAGCTAATTTACACAACATCACCTTGCAATTCATGCAGGGCTTTGCACCACACACCTGCTGGGTGTGTACACATTACAAAGGTGTCTAGATTCCACCAATAGATCATGCTGGGAGGGAACACACTACAGAGGTGTATACTTGTTCGTGGCGTGTTTATAAGGTTAGTAAATCAACCCCATAGTCTCAAAGGAAGTGGGGGGGACGGTAACTCCATATTAATTAAAGTGTATTTTTAACCAAGCCCTCTCTATTTATCCTGGTGTTGGTGGTCATTGTCAGAGACTGAAAATTATGGGAAATCAGAAATTTTACAGCAGTCAACAGAACCAGAGGTGAAGTTAAACATATCTCCCAACCTTCAGAAATGAGAAAGAGGGACACCTTATAGCACAATATATTTCGGCAATGGACACATCCCTGCCATGTAGATTACTAAGAATGGATTTTGCTATATTCTAGCTTTTGTAAAGAGCAAAAAAGATAATTAAGAGATAAGATGAAGGTGTCAGTGCAGAATAAAACTTCTGATAGTGAAATAGAAGCTTTTCATAGAGACCTGTACGTCAGACAAAAAAGAGGGACAGCTGAGGAAGAAAGAGGGACAGAGGGATTTGGTTGCAAATGAAGGGCAATTGTGAGGTATGAGTTTATTCTTTCAATGGGGACACATGTTTCAGCGACAAGGAAGAGATCTTCCTTCACTTTGGGGAGATTTCTTATCACTTCATGTTAGGAATGCACCGATACCGGTTTTACGGTATCAAGCACGAGTACCGATATCGAATACCAATACCGGAAGTCCCATTAAGGAAGTGTAATGACTCGTCACCTGGCTTCCTGATTAGCTGGGTGACGAGGAAGCAAGGAGCCGGCTTTCTGGAAAATCAGGAAGTCGGGGGGCGGGTAATGACTCGCCGCCGGGCTTCCTGATTGCCAGCTTCTCGACAAATCAGGAAGCCGGGCAGCGAGTCATTACATGGCGCCTGGCATGGAGCCAGGCAGCATGTAATGACTCGCTGGCTGGCTTGCTGATAACTGGAGCTCGGGTATCGGGCTAGGCATGGAAGCATTTGGGCGAGTACGAGTACTCACCCAAATACTCGGATTCGGCATCAATACCGATACTAGTATTGGTGCATCCCTACTTAATGTTATGTCATCTGGAAAGGCAGTGTAGGGAATTCTTCCCAATGGGACACAAACGGCAAAAGATTAACTGATGGCTTTTAACCCTTGCCTACTCTATGGAAAACTAAAATAAAAGTTTTGGCTGTACATATACTTTAATGGCATGGTCTTACAATGGCATGTTGGACAAGCTTATAGAAGTGTAATGGTTAGGCATCCGCGAACCTTTGGCCTTATAGTGTATTAATGGGCAGTCTTGTAGATTGCATTTTTTCAGGCTGTTTTTTTTGTACATTTTAATAACCAGTTGAATGATTTTTCTTTTGTGTTCTTGTATCTGATGGCTCTTATAACATTGTTCCATGCACTTATTGTGAACTGATCTTTATTATCAAATGACGGTTCTCCCCCATCGCCCACACAGATCTTAAGCTTCAAGCATGTTTGTAATGCGGAACGCAGGCAGCGCACACCTGGGAAAATCTATGATTCATTTTCCACTGAAAAATAAAAAAAGATAGGACGCCCGTTTTATTACCGATGTGCTGTTCTGGTTTCATGTTAAATGTCTGTTTTGTATGCATGTGGTAGGAAATCTTATAACTATTATTCCGCTGTACTGAGTGGAGTGTTTAGGTAGCAACTGCTGATGTCTTTCTGAAAAATGCTAGTTCCCTGGCTCGCTTTGGCGTTTGAGTCAATGACCTGGGACAAGTAGGCAGAAAGTCAAGTCAGAAGTCTGAATTCGTCTTTTTTCACTTGGCTCCGAAATTATTGAAGCCAGTGAATTATATTAACAACCAGGCAACAAGTTCAATGATGGCAGCTTGTTTAGTACAGTCTTAATGCGGGTGTTCCTTAATAAATGAAATCTGTCATAAGAGAAGTATGGGAGTTGCCAATGCTGAGCATTCCTTCTGAAATTGTCAGTTGCCTGGCTGTCCTGATGATGCATTGGCCTCAGTGCTTCCTGGAACAAGTGTAGAGAAAATAGGTTTAGAATGAATTACTCCACAGTGCCTGTAGCTACCGAGGTCAGTGAGGCTTGTTTTGAAGCTCTTTTACTGCTTGTTAAGTATAAGTAAATATTTGATTTCTGTAGCCTGGCCACAGTTTTACACAAAAGCTACATAATGCTATTTGCTACAGCACAATAATATGTTGCAGTGGGTAAGGAGACAGAGATAATAAGAGGCTCCATGATTTCTCTAAGCAGCCTTTACCAATCAAGGTGGGTAGCATATTATAGAAGGAAATGTAAGTAATATATATATACTGTATATATACTGTATATATAGTGAAACAGCAGTTTTTGGTTTTCCACCCTCTTCTCAATAGTAACATAGTTGGGTGTTCCTTTATACAAAGCCAAAAAAAATCTGTTTTGTATACTCACATTTAAAGGACTATATGTGTATGGGAATATGTGTATATTAATGTGCCCTTGATTTCTGACAGATTTGTGTTCTACAACTGATTCAACGGGATCAATGGGGAGCTTACCCAGCAAAAGGGGATATTCATCGATTCAGACGACTCTAACCAACTCTCAAGCAAATCTTGCTGGTAAGATCACTAAAGAAATTAATGTGAAAGTGTTGCTACTACACAACTGCCATAACTATATATCCTTTCCCATACAGTTCTACATGAATGTGACTTTATAAGTTTACCTTAAAATGAACCTGAGGCATTGCTAAATTCTTTCTGGAAGTGCAAGTTGCTTGCCTGCAATATTGATCCTCTGGATTTAATGTGTTCAAAGCTCCGAGCCAAAATAAATGTGCAGATCACAAAGACAGAAGTCCTCAACTTCATATATGTTCTGGGTCAGTCCCATAAAGTATTAAAGCTATAGGGTCAACATGACAGCCAGGACAACAATGGCAGCTTCCTAAATGGTTCTCCTGGTTCTGATATTTCAGTTTGGATACACATTGGTTGGCCTAATACCTCTTCTAACTCTTGGGGTCTCCAATGGTGAGATGTCCTTGCTGTATTTCATTGTCCTGTTGCGGAGAAGGAAAGAGGGACCCCTTGTAATAACTGCATCCTTTGGGTGGAGATGGTGGAATCCACCCAAAACCCACCCCAAGGAATATTCGTTTGGTAAAATAGGTCTAGTATTAGGCCCAGCTCGCAGTCATAAAGATGTGTCTGGAATATGATTGGTTGTTAAAGGCAGGTTATTCTTCTGTTCTAAAATCGATATTGTTGGCTTTTTTTATTCTTCATCTTTTTAATGATTGACTCAAGTTTTCCATAAGTCATAATGAAAGATGGTGGTTCACTATGCAAATTGGGAAAACGAAAGTACCGCTTGCCAGTCGCTCTTTTATCAAGATCTACGTGACAAAAACTTTGAGGAGGAATATTTTTAACAATGATGGAATATATGAAGCAACTCTGCATAGTTAAATAAAAAAATTAGTGCATTTTCAGTGAGCACACCATTGTAATTATTAATTTATCTTAAAGAGACAATGTCACTTTGCCAATTTAGGGGAAGATGACAGTGTCTGCTGATAAACTGCCCTCCACCAGCAAGGTTTATTCCCCATGTGTTCTCCTTCCCCATTGCAGTCCTCCTGGGTAAGCTCCAGTGTCGGATGGTGTCAGAGCTTACCCAGGTTGATGAGGTCACTGTCCCTCCCCACTTGACAGTGTTGAGGACAAGGCGATTGACTGCTAAGGTGTAAGCAGTGCCACATGGGAGGGGTCACATGCTTCCTATACATGGAGACCCCATTCTATAAGGTCAGTAGAGTAAGGGCTACGAGGTAGTAGGGAGAGTAAGGGATCAGCATTTCCCTTTTTAGCATATAAACACTGCAGCACAACTGACTGCTGCTTCTCCATCTCCTAGTCTAAACTCTACCGTATAGAAGATTGCAAGACGCTGCTACCAAGTCAAATTCAGGTACTTACACTGATTGCATTTAAATATTTTAAAAAATACATTAAATTATATATTAATGAATACGCAGTAGCATTAATTTGGGTCTTTATCTGTCCAGCTTTAATTTGTACTTGGCTGCTTTCTGATTAGGGGGTCCGAGTGAGAACTGGGAGGGGTTTCTCATCAAAGCTCTCTGCCTCTCTCATATTAGACCAATTCTAAACAATTTAAAAAAAACAAAACTATTTTATAGAGTAGGGAAACGTTTTAACCTATTTAGGTATTTTATTGCTGTTTCCTGTTGGGAAGTGAGGGCAAATCTGTCCAACCTGAAAGAGGGGGAAAGATTTTTGAATGTTTGAGTTGAGCTTGATAGGCACATGTCTTTTATAGCCTGATTATTGAATTTCCTGTACTAGTGAAAGGTATCTCCAGGACAGGACACTAGGAGAGATATCCCCCTAGTTGAGCAAGCACTAAAAACCTAGCAGGTGAGGTGGACCAGTTCTTCTCAGTAATGGCAACATAACACGGTTAATATGCAGAGCAGATGATGTAACCAGAATTAAGCAAAGTATGAGGTAAATGGGCTTTAAAGTTGAACTCTGGGTTACGTAAGAAATGACCCCCTCGCAGTGGGGACCCCCCATCCCGGCACTGAAGGAGTTGAAGGCTTCTTTTTGTCTCCGGGTAGAGGAATAAGCAGCTGTTCTTACCCTATTCCTCACTCCCCTGTCAACTGTGTTGCTCTCCTTCGTTTTCCAATGCTCCACGATGTGGACGGGCTCTCCCAGTCCTTGCGCACAATGCAGGTCTGCTGATCCTGCATTGTATGTAATGACATTGGAATGTGGAGCGGTGAAGGGAAGCGGTGAAGGAAACGACTTCTATAGTGCAGATGAAGCCTGTGGGATGAACAAGTTAATTATAGCAGCTTTCTCTGCTACCCCTAGCCAAAACAAGCATTTAATCCTAGCAGTTTGGAGGGCCCACTGCAAGGGCAATTTGTTCACTAAACCCAGAATTCAGCTTTACAACAATGCATAAAGTGCATTAAAACACATATGTGTGAATAAGCCCTTATGGAACTTAGTCTTGAAAGCCCAGTGTTAAAAACTAGCATAGGTTCTAACCCTCCAACACTCTTTTCATGGCTTCTGTGGCTAGAGTCAAGTTTTGACCCATTATTCCAGTACAGAGTACCATGTACTGTTGCATAACTTGTTGTCAAACTGTGTTTCTGTACATGATATACGTCATGACTTTAGCAACATCTGTGGAAATGATGTTTACTTGTTTTTCAGTGGCGGACAAGTGCATATTTGTGGCTTTGTACAATTTTCCAGCCGGTGGTCAAACCGATTTAAGCGTTCGACTCGGGGAGAAGCTAAACGTTCTATCAGAGTGAGTGACCTCAAACACCCTTGTTTTTTCCTGACCGGCCTGAATAAGGCACAATCTGTACACAAGTTTTGTCACCTAGACACAGCTAGAGCAAACAATGTACCGTATATATTTTTAGCTACGTACGTCAGTTAGTATTTCTGTGGCCAGATAATGATGTTGCAAAATTATCTTGTATAGAATGTCAGTTTTTAAATTGTCCATAAACATAGATCTCACTACATATAACAAATCAATCAATGTTTGCAGGTTCTATAAAAGATTGCACATCATTCATAGTGTCTAGTCTAAGGGTTCTTAACTTTTTTACATTTACAGACCCCCAACAGATTGCCTAATATATATGGTAACAATGAAAATCAAATTGCAAACCTGACAGTCTCATGCATGTTTCTGTGAATATCCATGTTAAACAAAAGGTATCATAAGGCATAATCATATCTAAGTAGGAATTTGAATAAAATGGTGAATGGGGTAATCAGTCAGTTGGAAGCCAATATTGGAGTTACATCAAGGGTCTCAAACTTTCTGGAACTCTTTGGGGCAGCTATGTTTCCCATGCATGACTTTCTCATATGGGATTAACTGATTTACAAGATGTTTCCATTAATACGGTAGCAGGGGTAGATGGGAGCATCGGATAGTAAATAGTAGGGGTAGAGGGGTTTGCCAGTCAGTAAGTAGTAGGGGTATGGGGGTTAATCGGATTGTAAATAGTAGGGGTAGAGGGGTTCATCTGATAGCAAATAGTAGGGGTATAGGGGTTCACTAGATAGTAAATGGTAGAGGTATAGGGGTTCATCAGATAGTAAATAGTAGGGGTAGAGGGGTTCATCGGATAGTAAATAGTAGGGGTTCATCAGATAGTAAATAGCAGGGGTAGAGGGGTTCATCAGATAGTAAATAGTAAGGGTAGAGGGGTTCATCGGATAGTAAATAGGGGTAGAGGGGTTCATCGGATAGTAAATAGTAGGGGTAAAGGGGTTCATCGGATAGTAAATAGTAGGGGTATAGGGGTTCATCGGATAGTAAATAGTAGGGGGTATAGGGGTTCATTGGATAGTAAATAGTAGGGGTAGCGGGGTTCATCGGATAGTAAATAGTATGGGTTTAGGGGTTCATCGGATAGTAAATAGTAGGGGTAGAGGGATTCATCGGATAGCAAATAATAGGGTTAGAGGGGTTCATGGGATTCCCCAATATATGGGGCTGTAGCACATTCAGTAAACTGTCATCATCAACCTCACCAGTCTCAATAGGTAAAAGTATGACTTCATACGATGTCAAGCGAGCTACAACTAGGAAGATTTTCATGGTTATTTTTGAGTAATCAATGTAATCTCCAACCATGTCAACATATCAACTGGCAATACTAAGAAAGGGAGGATGTTTGTAATGATCTGATCGCTGATTGGTTAGAAGCCCCATTGCCTCAATCCATATTAATATTTAGGAGATTATTTAGAGATCCAGTCACTAACCCAATCATTGGTTCGCATACCGCTAAGGATTATGGATACCACTGGTCTAGACCATCAAGAGACTGAAGTGTAGTCCCCTCCACAATCTCACTGCTCCATAGTCCATGGGCCTGAGAAAAACAGCCATGCCCAATGTGACGGACCTCGGTCCCAATACACTATAGTCTCAAGTCTGCCCCTAAACTTTCATGAACCAACTTCCCCTTGACCACCGTCTGAGACAAATATGCTTTATTATTTATAATATTCTTCTTGGCAACAAATGTGCTTGTACTGGTGTTTTTATGCAGTGAAAGAGCTATTGTAGAATACACTAAAGGTGGCCATGCACATGGCAACTTTCAGTCACTTTTAACCTCCTTGAAACCCCCGGGAATTGCAAATATATTTGAAAGTAATTGTCGGTGACAAAACAATCCCATAAGTTCGAGTAACCACCAGAATTGGGTCAGTTGCAAAGTCAATACTGGACAATAAACTGACAGCTTCAATACAGAGTATTGAAAAATCTAATTGAAATGGAATCAAAATGGGAAAATATCTACAGCAATTTTGCAATCGGAGTTTTCTTCCGTGTTCGACCGGGGAAAATTGGATCCTGTCTCCTTGTGGTGGGTTGGAACCACCATTGTATGACTTCAATCACTTGTTTGACTGCTCTGTCAAGCTGCCAGATGTATGGCCAGCCTCAGTTAAGATGCAGATATTTCATAAAAGTAAACGGTTGTCACCTTAGGCAGCATTTATTGATCCAATTCTCATTGCAATGGTTATTTTAGATACCTGTATAATATTTACTAAATGAGATAGGCAAGAACCAATACATAGAAAGTTGCCAACTTTACCCAACTGGCTTACCGAACCAATTTGTTAGAAACATGGACTTTAGCATGAGAAAATATGATTAGTCTAATGATATTTTTTATTATGATTGTGGTTGACTTTTTTTCAATAAATTAAACTTTCATTTAAATGGTAATGTTTTCCAGGGATGGAGACTGGTGGAAAGTGATGTCTGTTACAACTGGAAGAGAATGTTACATGCCTAGGGATTACATTGCTAAAGTATATAACAGGTGAGTCAGTAGTTAAAATATACCTGCGTCTTTCTGGATTCATTAAAACAGGAGGCTAAATTCAACAGAGTCAATGAAATTTGTAAGCCGTTCACACTTTCACATTTTCCAGTTCCCAGCACCCTCACAGACCTAGTCTGTGAGGGTGCAGCTCACCAGCTGCACTTAATCTTTCTAATTGTCAGTATTGAATATGCAGGAGCAGAACTGTGCCATCTCCAACTGAACCGAGGGAACCAAGATTCTTTTCTACTCAGTTATTACATGCTAAGGAGGGAATGTTCCCAATCACATTCCTCACATAACAACCTCAGTCCTCAGTGCCTGGGAAGCTGCGAGGGAGCGTGGCTGCTACTTTCCAGGCTTCCCATCCATTCAGGAAGCCGGGTGGGTGGTCACATGACCACCTGTCAGGCTCCCTGCTTCATTACTGCACTCCTGCTGCAAGAGTTAGGGGACAGTTGAAGAGATGGGAACCTGGGATGGCTCAGGGATGGGATGGCGTATGTATGTATTATATATGGTGTACCTGAGCCTGAGAAGAAAATTGGTACGCAGTAAGCTGACCCCAGAACAGGCACAGAATGGCACAGTACAATGCAAAAAGCCCTGCTACAAACTTTTGAGCCGATCCCGGGCCGCAGATGGGGCAGCGGATCCCGGGATTCAAGGTGAGGGGTCAGGGGGGGACAAAAAAAGAAAAAGGCGGGCGGGTGCGGACGCAAACATGCACATACAAGCGATCGGCGGGCTATGGACCCACTGATCGCCTATATGTGAAACACCCGGTACCGGGTGTTCGCATTGGACGGGTCTTTTCTGCCCGTGCGTGCCCGCTAGGGGGCGC